CCTAGTACAGCAAACTGACAATGTGAACAATACCCAACCCATGCACCTAGTACAGCAAACTGACAATGTGAACAGCACCCTACCCATGCACCTAGCACAGCAAACTGACAATGTGAACAGCACCCTATGAGGAGGAAACATCACTGAAGTCCCCCGAAGTGAAGCGCCACACACACACCTATCAAGGACAGCACAAAGGTAAGATTTGAAGCATCCTAGGAGGAGGAAACATCACCGAAGTATCCCGAAGTTAAGCGCCACACACACACTCATCAAGGACAGCATAGAGGTAAGATTTGAAGCATCCTAGGAGGAGAAAACATCACCGAAGCATCCCGAAGTGAAGGGCCACACACACACTCATCAAGGGAAGCGCAAAGGTAAGATTTGAAGCATCCTAGGAGGAGGAAACATCACCGAAGTATCCCGAAGTGAAGCGCCACACGCACACTCGTCAAGGACAGCACAAAGGTAAGATTTGAAGCATCCTAGGAGTAGGAAACATCAAGGAACTTTCACAAGGTGGATCGCAACTCATCCAGCTTCCCAAATCAGTGAAAACTCAAAGTTTGAAGCATCAACACCAAGGGAAACATCACAGAACTTTCACAAGGTGAATCGCAACATGTACAGGCACCCAAGTCAGTGAAAGCTCAAAGTTTGAAGCATCAACACCAAGGGAAACATCACGGAACTTTCACAAGGTGAATCGCAACATTTACAGGCACCCAAATCAGTGAAAACTCAAGATTGATAGCATCTACTCAGGGGGAAACATGACGGAGCTTTCACCAAGTGAATCGCAATATGTACAAGCACCTACATCAGTGAAAATTCAAAGTTTGAAGCATCTACTCAAGAGGAAACATCACAGAAATATCACCAAGTGAATCGCAACATGTACAAGCACCCCAGTAAGTGAAAACTCAACGTTTGAAGCATCTACTCAAGAGGGAACATCACGTAAGTATCACCAAGTGAATCACAACACGATTCCCTCCTCTTTCACTCACCTCTTGCTGGTCTCTAGGAAGTGGAGTCCCAATGCTTGATTCTAGCCTCCTAAGTTCCTTCCTTCTTAACTATAGCAATCCTAGTTCTAAGGATGTGGAGTCCTTCCCTTTAAGAGGGCTAAGGGGACCCCTGTCTCAGCCTCCCCTCCTACCTCATTGCCTGAGGGCTATGGCGGATCACTCTCCTTGCTCCCTTCCAGCCTCTAGATCTCCTTCCTCAGTCCTACCACCATAGCCAGGCTACAGGCTAACTCCGACCCTCACTCCCTTGCTTCTCTCCCACTCAGACTCTTACCCGGACTCATTTGGGCAGCATGGGCACCTCTCATTCTCAAATGAGAGTGGCGGCCTACACCTCCAGCTTATGTAGGCCGGAACAGGTGCACCGCCCAACCTCTAGGGTCCTCCAAGTGCCTCTAGGTGGAGCGAGGTACCCCAAGGGCCAAATTTCAGGTTTTGGCCTACCAGGAGGCACCTGGGCCTCAGTTTGGCCTGGTACATGCAGTCCGAGAGGCTGGTACCTCCTCGGACTACCCCTTGGCCTACCCCGGCCTCTTCTCACTTCCAAAAGAGCTGCCTTTTGGGGTACCAATCCCTAAAATGCAGCCTTTGTTGAAAATTGAGGGCCTAGAGGCCCGTTTTTTATCCTTTTCTTAGTCTAGGCCTCTTCGGAGTAGGCCGTGCATTTTCCAAGTGGCGGCTCCAATCTCAGCCTTGGATCTGGTTGGGATCCATGGTCCTCATCATTCCGAGCCACTCCCAAGCTCCCCTTGCCCCAAATTTGAGCCTTTACTTCAATTTTCCCTCTTTTTGATGTATCTGGCCCAGTCCTTGGGCCAAATACGCARTTTTGTYTTGTTCTCYCCTTTGTTTTCCCTCCATTTTGCTGCCAWCTCATTCCRGAGCTAGCCATTTTGTGTCAGCCCACAAAAAACGGCWAGATCTCCTCCTCCGCAAGATCAGATCTCAGATKTAAGGMCCAAAARTGAGCCGGCCAACTCACTTCAGCATTTTTTTTATTTTGTTTTGCTCGAATTCAGATATTGCAGAGATAATGCCCCAAGGACCTTATCTCTGCAATCCGGACTGCCCTCCTAGGATCTAGGAGGGATGAGGTCATCATTGAGACCTGCCAGTTCCTAGTGCTGCAGTCCCAACCTGGCGACACTTTTTCCTCCACTCCTTCCTCCTCCTTTGTTTCATTCTCCCCCTTTTTCTCCCCTTTTTCCTTCCCTTTCTCTTTCATTACCGTTGGGCCAAGTGTCCAACAACTATTTTTCTTCTTTCTAGCTGTTGGTCCCTACCCAAGGTCTGATTTTGCAGCCGGCACATGACCGTTGCATCTCGGTCTTCAGTCATGACACCTCCAAGGTCCAAGGGGGCTTTTTGCTGCTGCCGCTTCCAGTTTTGAGACCCCCTTGCTCCGATTTTCTCCGGCCAGCCTTTTTTCCACGTGGAGTCCTCGGAACTTCGTTTTTCTTGGTCAGGCTGGTCCGGAGTAACCCGGACTACTGGCCGGCCCCCTCGCTTGCCGCGGCGACACTTATCATTTTCATCCGGACCTCTGGTCCGGACGGTCCCGCCCACCTGATGTTATGTTATTTTATTTTTATCGTTGTCATTGCGTCGGATCCAGGATCCCTCTGGGTTGCCGCAGGTGTCCTCCGTCTTTCCCGCCACATGCCCGTCTCCCCCGTTCCGTTGACAACTTCTGTTAGCGCCCGACTTCTCCTCCTCTTCTTATTGCTCCTAGTCCCTTCCCTCTGTGCGGCGTCACCCCGGGTGACGACCCGCTTGCGCGCGTCCCTCTATCGGTCGGTTGCCAACTATGTCGCTGACAGCTCCGACCTTCGTCCTCCGTCCGCGGCTCCTAACGCTTTATCCCATCTATACCTACCCTACTGGTGATATCGCTGGCGCCGCCATCCCGTCTAGGCTCACGTGGTTTCCTGGCGCTTTGGTCCGCCCGCGCTTCGTCTATCCCTCGTCCTTACACGGTTCCTGGTTCTTCGCCCTGCCGATACCATGTCGTCCCTTGGTCTCGCGTGGTCCCCGACACCTAGTCCCGCCGACACCACACTTCTTCTTAGTCCCCTGTGGTCCCGACACTTTGTCCTGCCTGTGCCATGTCTTCCCTTGGTGCTCCCAACGTCCTTCCGTCTTTCGGCGATCTCCGCTCCCCGTTCCCCTTGCGTCCCGCACACTGTTCCGTTCCGGGTGCCGGTTCCCACCTATCCTGCGGTCTCCTTGGCCCTCCTGTCGTCATGTCATGTCAGCGCCTTGCGCCCCGTCCCTTGCGGTGCCCCTCGTATGCTGCTACCAACTTCCCGGCGACCCTCCTCCGTCCTTGGGAAAAGAGTCGCTCATGCTATTCTCTCACAGTCCCTTGCCGCTCCCTGCTAAGGCAGTTCCTTTCTAGTTTGGCGGTCCTGACGACTCTGGGCAGCCTCTAGCTTCCTACCATCTGTGCCCCCGCTTCCAATCTTTCCAGCATTCCTGCCTCCGATTTTCTCTGTCGTGCACAAATTGGTCATATATAGTCTCTTGAGTAACGGGAATTCATTCGGGACTCACCAGTCCCGACAGCGGTCGGGAGGGTCCCGCGCTGCTTCGTGCGGTGCCGGACCGATGCGCTCGACAGCGGCATCTTTCGCCACACCCGTGTCGGGGTTGACTACCGATGCCTGGACACAAGCACAATGGCAAGAAACAAAACAAGTTTGGACAACACCAACACCCCCACTACGAAGACGACGACGAGAAAGACTGTTGCGGCCACAAGGGACACAACGACCAGTGATAAGCCGCCCGCATGCCTTACACCGCACCCGTCACCCACAATGACAACGACAGGACAATCTGTGAAGGAACACCAGCGACAAACCCCGGAAGCCGAATGTGCTGATGGAGGCCTGCCCTGTTCGATCACCACGTGCCCTGTATTCACGTGCTGACGCTCGGCGGGAGGACTGCGAACCTCCAACGATGGATTCCACAAGGGAGGACCTCCACTGCTGAATGGAGATCGCGTGCAGTGTGTGACATAGGACGTTGGCGGGGGTGTGCGTGTGACCACCCTTGGAGCAAACGACGGGATAGTAGAAGAAACCACCACGTCAGCACACCCGCTTCCACGAAAACAAGCTCGCGCAGCTGCATGTCCCGAGCTGACCACAGGAATCTGTAGTACAGTTCGAACTGCAACGGAGGCATCCGAATGCGTCCAATGACGACTCCAGAGACCACGCACGTGCGACGTGGCAGCGCGTCGGACTGAACGCCCGCGGCCGAAACAAGCAATGTTCTGGAGAAAGCGCATGGCAGATCGACCTTCCACCCCACGTCACTTCGAAGAAGACAACTGCGGACAACGAAGGGCAGGAACGCGCAATCGCGGACAAGTGAACGACACACAGTGCGATGGTCTGTCTGCCTCCTCTCCGCCCCAAGTATTTGTTGCAGATTTCGAAAAAAACCGTTAACGCACCACAAAAAATTGAATTGCGCGTTCCCGCTTTGCACAATGCAGTGGGACCACAGCGGGGGACCACCTCCGGGGACCACCAACGGCCAGTTTTGATGTCTCGTGCGACACGCACTTCGTTTATGGGGTCTCCGCCTAGACCAAACGTTTGTCCGTGACGCCCGTTCACAGCACCACTCCTCCACGGCCTCCGATGCCAACGGCTGGCGCTTTGCCCTCCCCGCCCTGTTGGGGGGCGTTTTGGAAAAGAGCACCAGCCGCGGGCGGAAACTTTTCCATCCGCCACCCATGTAGAAACACGGCTGGTGGTCTTTTGGCATCGGCGGTGGGGTCTGAACTCGACGTCGCCAGACGAGGTGGCGAACCGCTTGGCGGACCGGTGGGGTCCGAAAACGCCCTTCCATGCCAAAACTTTTCCAGCCGCCGGGCGGTGGGGTCCAAGCCTAAGGCTGTGGCTGTGGTGCGGCCACAATTAGCCCTGGATCTTGGAAAGATCAAGGGCTCATTGTGAGCTCGCGTTTTCTGCCTGAGGGCTGGAGTGGCGCCCAACCCTCCTCAGCCACTATATAACAGGCAGCTGTCCCCAGCTGCCACACAATGCACTCGTGATGCCAGGGTGTGACGAGCACACTTGAGTGTTGCTGGCTGCTGGAGCTGCTGCCTGAGGCAACCTGAGCACAGGCTGGAGACCTGCTGAGGAGCGCAAGGAGGAGAGTTGGGCAGCCATAGCCAAGGCACGGAGCACTCTGCTCCCCTCCCCTCTGGTTGATGCTGGTCCCACGGGGCTGACCCAGGGGCGCTGCAAGACTACTGCAAGACGGCGCTGTGAAATTTGGGCCCGGGGCCCAAATTTTACCAATTTTGGCCAGCTATTTTTCCACTATAGTGGGGAATTGCTGCCAAAATTTTACAGTGGCGGCCAGCAAAGACTCCGGGTTTAACGACGGTGGTGCGGAAGCGCTGCCGGATTTTTGCGGCCGCAGTTCTGGTTTTTTCGACAATGGTGCGGAAGCGCTGCCAGATTTTCGCGGCGGCGATTCTGTTTTTTTCGACGGTGGTGTGAAAGCGCTGCCGGATTTTTGCGGCAGCGGTTCTGGTTTTTCGACGGTGGTGCGGAAGCGCTGCCAGATTTTTGCGATGGCGGTTCTGTTTTTTTCGACGGTGGTGCAGAATCGCTGCTGGATTTTTGCGGCGGCGGTTCTGTTTTTTTCAACGGTGGTGCAGAAGCGCTGCCGTCTTTTTGAGGTGGTACGACACGGCGAAGCGCTGCCATTTTTTTTACGGTGGTACGCTGCCGGATTTTTGTGGCAGCGGTTCTGTTTTTTTCGATGGTGGTGCAAAAGCGCTGCAGTCTTCTTGAGGTGGTACGACACGGCGAAGCGCTGCCGTTTTTTTTACGGTGGTACAACACGGCGAAGCGCTGCCATTTTTTTTTTTTACGGTGGTACGGCACGGCGAAGCGCTGCCGTCCTTTTTTTACGGTGGTGCGGCACGGCGGAGCGCTGCCGTTTTCTTTTTTTTTACGGGGCACGGCGCGACGATTTGCTGCCATTTTCCGACGAAAGTTCGACACGGCAATGGAATTGCGGCACGACGGTGGGACGTGCGGCGCGACAGTGGAGTTTTTTTTTACGGCGCTGAAAGGTTTTCTGTTGTGGCGCGGCGTCTGCTTTTCTTGGTGAAGGTTTGCTACCATTGGTGTGTACGGCAGCAGCAGCGTGACATGGTGGCGGTTGACGGCATGTGACGGTACGAAATCCGAGCACGACAGACGGGTTTAATTTTTTATGCGGCAAATGAGATAAATGTTTTGTAGTTGGGACTCCCCAACACTTGCGGCAGTGGGACTGGACTACTTGGGACTGCCTGGATTCAGTCGGGACTCACGTGGGACGCAGGCGGTCATTTGCGGCAGTTTTGACGCGTGCGGTTTTGAAATTTGGCACCGGTTTTATTTTTTTTAGAACTATGGCGGAAACAATTTTCGACTCGATAGTCAGTGTTTGACAGCATGGGACCACTTGGAACCGCGTGGAACCATCTGGGACCGCCTGGAAGCAGTTGGGACTGACGTGGTACCAGATTGAGTGTTTTTCTGGGATGCGTGCGGCTCACCGTTTTCGCGCTTGGGTTACTGTCGGTGAGGCGTGCGAGTAAGAGGTGGTTTGATCAGGATTTTCCTTAAGACTACAACTTTCGGCGGCACACACGACTTGTTGGTTGGCTTTCTTGAGTGAGCCAGGGCGCTTCTTCGGCGCCACTTCACTCAAGGTCAGTTAATCTAACTCAGTTCCCTTCATTCCTGTGTAAGCCCACACTTTGCTTGACCCTGTTCAATCGAATGTTCATTGAAAAGGCAAAGAAAATGTGTGTCTGCAACTGAATGGGGAGTTCTGACTTGAGTATGGGATTGCACTGGTTTTCTCTTGAACTTGTTATCTTGCATGTTGTGCAGGTAGGTAGAATGATGCTTGCAAAGGAGATTGATTATGCCTATTCAGGAAGATGAAAAAAAAAATTGTTTTCTTTCTACCTCTTACCTGCCTGCTTGTCAAAAGAAACTTGTTGTTTTGAAAAAGATTATTCAGTTTGTGTTGTAGAATGGATCCGAATGAAATTAAGCAGAATAAGGTTAAACGAACTTAGTCTTTCCCTTAGGATTGACCCGTTCTATCCCGAACGACCTTATCTGCCTGTGCCTGTCCAAATGATTCTTATTCTCTATCTCCTTGGAATTCTTTTCGTCCATACTACCCTGAACTCAGGAGAAATAAGAATAACTGAAAGCTACTTGCAGTGGACACATCTTCTACCTCTAAGGAGCATCTGGGGCGGGGGTTCGTTGCTTTAGGAGCCGATCCTGCTATCGACCCAGAGTGGACCGTTCTACGAGGGGTATTTGCCGATTCGGTGGAGACGGCCCGACTTCTGAGATCCGAGTCTTGTGCTCGGGCGAGGAGGAGTACCCCAGACCACTTCCTAGAGGAAGAGGCATGTAACACGTCAAGCAATGCCCCTGATCAAGAATCATCCGCAAAGCACCCTGTCATTCAATAATATTGAGAACGTGTGGGGATGGGTGTGCGTGCTTAATCACAGATCGGCGGTAGGATGAAATAAATGACTTTGGCAACGCGTCTCATCAAGTCAAAACTAAGGCAGCCCGAGTCCCTTATCGGCTGCATCTATGTTATTGTCGGTGACGAACTCCTTGTTGGCGGTTGTATTTGCTTTGTGGTGTTCGACCCGAGATGGTCTGATTTTATTTCGATATTGTGTTATTGGATGTATTGTATGGTGATTCGAATTCTTTCTTTTATCATATCATATTGGATATTTATGTCGACAATAGTCGATTTTCTTTTGATGTAATTGTCTGTGAATGTTATAATTCTCTTTGATTGTATGTCTAAATGGACTAGGATTAATTTGGGTTTCACGCTTGGTTGAGACCGTCCTAGTCGATCGATGTTTGCTTCGCACCTAGGAGATCAGCGCCTTAGGAACGAACGACGTTCGGGTCCGCTTGGCGTTAACCAAGCGTATCTATACTACAACGGACGAGCAAACGCCCTCGGCAGACCCACCTCTGCAATTGCATTTAAATGCTTTCGCACGTGGGTCGGTAGCTCGGTAGGGATACACCCAGCCCCTTAGGGAAGCAAGCTTATGCCCCGCGGGAACCTATCCTGTCGTAGTGGACCGCAGGATGTACAGCTGGCGCACCCGGCTAGAGAGACCAAAGGAGCGATGCAACCGCGTCCGTCTCGACGGTTCGCGGAATGTTATGCGTCGTTCCCGAGTTGTCTCTTGGAAGTGTTTTGTGTTTAATCTACTGCGTGACATGGCCGGGAGGGCCCTCGTTTCGCGCGAGGGCCGATGCGCTCAACACCGGTCAGGTCAGGATTTGTATCTAAATCTTCCCTGCGCTATAAAAACACCATTTTGTACGTATCGGAATGCACATTGCTTGTTGAGATTCTACTTACCGTGCATTGTCCATTCAATCCTTTTTATCACATTGCGGATCCTCAGTTATTATGTACATCGCCCAACTGGGCATGTAACAATTGGTATCGGAACGCCTCTCGTGAATCAGGACAACCTGATTTGACTCATGTGACTGGGTTGCTGATTAGTCTTGATTGATTGCTTAGAGCACACTAGTCGGCCCTCAAAATCACGATTTTGACCTTACTGCCAAAAATCGATTTATTTTTTTTCTTTTCTTGGATTTTGGTTTCTCGCTATTTCTGTTGTGGAAAATTGCAATAGCGCAGCATCTGAAATTTCCGTTTTCATTTTTCTTCTGAAAATTCAAAATTTCGTTGTTGAAAATCCGAAATATCTTTCTTTTCGAAAATTTCGATTTCCTGTTGCATTTCCCGTTATTTGGAAATTCGAAATATTTTTCGAAATTCGTTTTTTATTAAAACGGTACGGGAAATCCCTCTTGCAGTACCATTTTCCAAACTGCTAGTCACAGTTTTAAAGTCATTTGCAGTCTGAAGTTCGAAATTTTCTCATTGATAGTTTTGCACTTCAAAGGAGGTTGGCAGACCTACTAAACTTGCAAAACTCGGGATTTTTATTTTCTCGAATTTTTTTTTTGCAAAGTTCAAACTTTTCTTTTTTAATTAGTGGCTCCTTATCTGGGCGATTTTTCCCACCCACCCCTCCCCACCTACGTTGTGGGCCCCTCTGGTCTTACCTTCTCTATCTGTCTTCGGGTACCTCTACTGTGACGTTGGTAAGTGACACGTCAACAACTGAGCAAGTGTCACGTCAGCAGCCAACCAGTTCCACGTCAGCAGCCGACCAGTGCCACGGCAGCAGTCACACGTCAGCAGGCCATGTTAGCAGGACACAGCAGCCGAACAGTGCCACATCGGCAGCAGGGAGTGCCACGACACCAGTCCTCCGGCCTGATCAATGCTCATGCGCTTACAAACAGTCGGCATGGATCAAAAGTCCAGGGAAACGGACGAGGCCTATCAGGCCCGAGCAGAGATCAGTATCGACCGAAAGTGGCCGTGGTTGAGGCGGCAACGCCAACCGACCAATCTAGCGAGACCGTGTCTGCCAATGAAGGGGATAGGTTCGCAGCCGCCCGGGATAGTGATCGCCCTGGCAAAGGCCGAGGACGCGGCAAGATGAAGACAAACACCACATTTACCCCCGGGCCCAGCGCAGCAGCTTCAGCCCCATGGACCCACTACGGCCAATTGGAAAACAGCACCGCCGGGAGCGACTCGATGACACTCTCGGCGTCTTCGGAACCGGTTGCTTCGCGGGTGACCGCCCAGCATTCCGAGGAACATGCGAAAATCGATAGTCCTCCTCTTCTATATTCTTATGAGGACTATGCTGCCCGGCTTGCTCCTACGCTGGGTACTCATGCTCAAGGACAAGACGTGTGTGTGGCATCTTCTCCGTTCGACAGCTGTTTTGCGCCCCCACCTTTTCAAGGCCCGGTTCAATGTCCCTCCCCGGCCGAGTGCAGTGGGTTGATGGACTGGCAGGCTATCACGCAGGATTTTGGAAAGTTTTAGGAAAATTAGGAGTGAACTTACAAGCAGCCTTTGTCTCACAGTCAAGTAGTCAGGGTTATCCCTCCTGCCAGCGGCGACACGGCTTAGATTGAGGCGTTCAGTTTTATCGCCTGCACCTAACCCCGTATAAAGGCTAGACTCAAGGTCACCGGAGTCCCTATTATCCAGGAGTCTTTCAAGTAGCCTTTGAGTAACCTATTATGATAAGAAATAATTAATAATTCATGACCTCATGCATAAACGTTCCATACATTACAGGGCATACATCATAAATCAGATGACATTGAGAGGACGAAAAGACCAGAAACCAGACTCTGCAAGAGCATGACCAGAGACACGAGACTGAAGAGTAGTACACAAAGAATGGAGGAAGCAGAGCCATAAAGGAGGGGCTGCGAGTGGTACCCCCTCATGAGTGGGCTCGACTGCCTGGGACTCCGTATCTCATACACGCTGGTCCTCCTCATCATTGAGAACCTGAGTGGCTATAAACTCCGGGACCACATAGCTGATGTCAAAAGATGCTGCAGGATCGATCTTGCTGATATATGCCATACATCTCGCCATCTCCTCATCCGCGACACTCCGGAGGTACAGCTCCTCGGCGAGAGAAATGCTGCCAGTGGCACCGATCAAGATCTCAATCCGTCCCTTGCCATAGATGTAATCATAAGAGACCTCCAGAAAACGTCTCCATAGATTGACTTCCGAAAAGCCTGTACAACGAAGTCTGCTCCCACCAAATGACTGTAGCCATCCCCAAGATATGGGACAGGTCCCTTCCCCCTAGAAGGGTCGGCTACCTCCTCTGACTTGGGCCCTCCTGACATGTAATGCCTGGGTCAATCACCCTGAAGCAAGTATCGTGCCAAGAGATAAGCAACCCGTCGTAGGGCAGCTTTCCGCCTGCATCTCGCTCTAATGACCAATGTCATAAGATGCTCTTGGCCTGCTCCAAACTCGAGCGTACTCAGTCCCCGTGAGTATCCCAGTCAAAATAGTCCCCCAGGTCAACATCGCTCACGCAGCAAGGCTCTTGGTCTGACTCGTCCGTCTCTAACCTCTGTAGACAGGTGGTAATAGGTATCCCGCATCTGGCCACCTCGCTCCTGATCCTCCTATCTTGATGCCTCTTTTCCTTGCTGCCACCTCTGTTCAGCGGTTTAGGATTACAGCCGTCAAAGTCATAGAGGGCACCACCTGGTGCAAAGGGGATATGGGGAAACACCACATGTAACCMGTGTTCCCTCCAGTAACTCTCCCTACGGAAGATRTAGTCAGCAATCCGGTCATAGGTGGTTCCCTTCACTCCYTGCCCAGCATCTCTCACGTGATAAGTGATCACCAACGTGTACCTCGATGTGGGAGACTCATTGGCCCGAATGACGAAGCTCTGATGCCCAATGTGTCGATAGCAGAACTTCTCAACCAGCTTACCCCATGTAGGGGTTGTCTCATGTTGAGAAGCCAGCTTGACCAATCTGCAAAATAAAATAGAATGCTCCTGACAAGCTGCTATGCCAAATAATAATGTCCTAGAGATGAGGTGGATATCAGCAACCCAGGAAAAATAGCCCAACTCGATGGGGTCAGAGAGGACAGCACCTCAGTAGACCCTCTAGCCAAACAGGTAACAATCAACTCAGTATAGAGGCCCGCTTGAACGGGCCAAGCTGAACAACAATCAAACTCTGTATATGGGCCCGCCTGAATGGGCCCGGCTGATCAGAAACAACTCGATATAGGGGCCCGCCTGAATGGGCCCAACTGATCAGCAACAACTCAATATAAAGGCCCACCTGAATGGGCCCGGCTGAACAGCAACAACTCGATATAGAGGCCCGCCTGAATGGGCCCGGCTCAACAGCAACAACTCGGTATAGAGGCCCGCCTGAATGGGCCCGGCTGAACAGCAACAACTCGATATAGAGGCCCGCCTGAATGGGCCCGGCTGAACAGCAACAACTCGGTATAGAGGCCCGCCTGAATGGGCCCGGCTGAACAGCAACAACTCGATATAGGAGCCCGCCTGAATGGGCCCGACTGATCAGCAACAACTCGATATAGGGGCCCGCCTGAATGGGCCCGACTAAACAGCAGCTCAGCAACTCATCATAGCAACATCATACGAACATCTCTGCAGCGAGTGGACTAGAACATGAGGACCGAACTGCAAGTATCGTCACTGAGAGAGACTGATCATCAAGATATTATCTATGCAGACGCCAGTTGCAAAATACTGCGCGTGCAAACCGGACTGCACACTTATCATGTGTGCAGGAAAAATACCGACCGAACAGGGTCTGATATAAATATCGTCCATGCAGAGACTGATCAGCAAAAAATCAAATCAGCGGGAGTTGGGGCTAATCATACCATCAGAGACATCCAGTCATATCCTCAAGACTAATCACACTCGCTGGGCATTCGTCCTCGACCATCATATTGGCGGGACATGCGTTTCAAAATCATTAAAGCACACACTCGTATAGCCTACTCGAGCCTAGGCGCACTCATGCGATGATACCAAGCATGGGCGCGCATGGGCGCGCACTCAAATGACAAGCACTAAGCTCAGGCGTGCATGGGCGCGCGCTTAAATCACAGTTCCAAGCTTGGGCGCGCATGGGCGCACTCTTAAAAGGCAATGCTAAGCTTGGGCGCGCATGGGCGCGCACTCAAACATCAATTCCAAGCTTGGGCGCACATGGGCGCGCACTCTAATATCAATATCAAGCCTGGGCGCGCATGGGCGCGCACTCAAATATCAATGCCAAGCTTGGGCGCGCATGGGCGCGCACCCAAATATCAACGTCAAGCTTGGGCGCGCATAGGCGTGCACTCATATAGCAATACCGAGCTC